GTGCATTGCCAAAGCAGACATCCCGGTGTAAAACGGACCTTATATTTCGTGAGGCAGATTTATCCCTCCGTATCCAAAGCTGCTGTCAGGGCAGTGGTCAGAGGATGCAAGGAGTGTCAGTCCATCGACCCAGCACCTGTGCAATGGCAAAAAGGACAAGTGAGTGTAAGCAAGGTGTGGCACCGTGTTGGAATGGACATCACCCATTATAAAGGACTTGCGTCGCTATGTAGGTACAGATACGTCAACAAGTGACACGAGCAGTGAGTGCTCAGAAAGTGAACAAATAATTACCATCGGAGGTAGGGCTAGCACCTCTTCAGATGGTGAAGACTCTGTGCGTGAGGTTGTCAGACCAGAAGAATCCTCAGAAGAAGAATCTTCAGAACATTCTTCAGATGATGAAGACGCTGCGCATGAGGTTGTCAGATCAGAAGAAACCTCAGAATATAACACACAATCTCCTCCAACAGTCGCCCCGCTCCGGAGAAGCTTAAGAATAAAGAGGCCCGCCCATGAGTGTCACTTATGTGACAGGGGGGGGGTGTAGTGAACGAGATAATCAAGTACCCAGGAAGGAAAATTCGGTCATTTTTGGCTACGACGTTCGTGAGTTATTTTCCTGGCGCGTTACAAGTGATTTTCTTTCTTTGTGTTGTGAAAGCCACAAATTTGCTTTGAGAACGCTTACTCTTCAACATATAATCGTGCCATCGTAAAAGATACTGTCGGTTCTTTAAATCACTCCAGAAAATACCTAACTCCTGCTGTCATGCTCTATCGTTAAAACAGTTCAGACCAAAAATGGAGTATTGCTGCTCAGTCTTCATTTCATTTCATAAACGATTACGTGGCCTTGTGGGTAATGAATTATTCTCCACCACGCAACCCTGATCACACAGTTTAAATGTTGTTAGCCACTCACTGATCTATTACTATGGTAGATGTACAGATGTTATATTCCTTAGTTCCACCAGTTCAGAACTTCACAGTTAAGCCCCGCCATACCAGGTTCACGGTGGCAAATCATTTCCACTCAATTCGTGTTCTTTGATAAGGAGTAAGTTCCACTCAGACAGGTGGTCCCCCATAACTGTTTCTTTGTAGAACAATCTTCCGAGAGGATGTTTCCATGACAACTACAATCTTGTATCTTCAAGTACAGAGTCAACTAATATGTATCTTCTTACACGACCTCATAATGCGAACTTCTTAATTCCCCTCCTCTCCACAACAATCTCGCTCAGTAACCCTTTTTACCTTGAGTGATCCTTTGGCCTTGTATTGGGTGAACTAATATATATCACCAACAGCCGGGGAAAAGAAAAAGAAAGAAAGAAGGCTAAGTAAGCAAGTGTACAGTGAAAAAAAAACAAATAAAAATTTAAAAAAAAAGGGGGGGGCAAAATGATCACGACTCCTTACACGTACACACATCCGCAGAAACGCGCACATGGCAGCACACACGAACACAGAGAATATCGAAGAAAACTTACACCAGAGTTAAATATACTTAAAAAAAGGAAAAAAACATAAGCAGTAATTTGCTGATACCTATTGAAGTGGATGGACAGGTCCATCTACGAACCTCTGGAGTCGGGAAGTTGAATGCAGTAACAATGTAACATCAATCAGCTAAATGACAAAATGTAGCTAGGTTTAGTTATGCAATCTTTGTTCAAAGCAATAGAAGCTATATCAACTAGCCCGTTTACTGATGGATACACAAGAACTGATATCTAGGAAGTTGTGGAGAGCCATGATCGACCACGTTCTGAAGGGACATGGCACACAGAAGAATTGCAAGTGAATTTGACTGTGATAAATATGAAATGAATTTTTTTAGCGAAGATTAAAAAATCATCTGAATCTTTGCTGAAAACTAGTTTTTGAATCAAATCATAATGTCTTCAAAATATGCAAGTGTCCTTGGGTTAAGAAGAACTAATATGAAAAGATTATGGTATTTAATTTAATTTATCTATATGGCGAGAGAACCTCTGACTGATCTGAACGTCTCAACCTTCCGATCTGTACAACCCCAAGGAAATTGAATTAAAAACAAAGTCACTTGCTATATTCGGGATTACGGTAAACGTGCTGTAATATTTTATAGAAAAAAAAAGTATTAAACTAGCTTCAAACAAAATCAAGAGGAGATGTAACATTCTTTAGAGTTGTTTAAACGGTGACTTGGATCTTCGGAAAATAAATATTCCATTTTTGTTAGACAGATACTTGTCTGAAGGGTTCGGAATTGTATGGAAGCAGTATTTTTTTTTTTTTTTTTTTTAAGAACTTTTGAGACTCAAACGTCAAGCAATGTCTTTCCATAAATAAAAAAAAAATTCCAAACTAATCATGGGATGCAAGCTAAAAAAAAATAATGTTTGGTTTACAAAACAGAGACAGAAAATATGTACAAGGCATTTTTTTTTAATTTGTTGATAAAAAAAAATGTTCCAAAGCCGTGTGACAGCAAATTTGGTTTGAATAAAATTTACGCACAGCAATGTTCTCTTTTAAAATCCAAGAATTAAAAAATCAGAAGTAAAAACCAAACCAATTATCATCAAATCACCAAGTGATTTTTAAACGAAAACAAAAGGAAAAAACGTTTTCCCTGAGTGCAACAAAGATTGCTTTATACAACAAAATAATAAAATTAAAAAAAAACTAGGAAAAAAAGACTGTATTGTTGGCCGAATTTACCATAAAAAGAGTAGTGGTTATTCGTTTATACGCCAGTGCACCAGTCTACGCTACCTTTGTTTATTTATATTATAATTTTTGTCTTTAAAGTGATGCGAATAATTTAACAATTCTAAAATAAAATAAGTAATTAAAAATAATAACTAAATGATAATTTATATTTTTTTTATTTGGAGTACTTTTTGCATAAGGTGCAATTGACTGGGGTGTGTAATTAATTAGTATTTTAATTTGATACTTTCATGCGACTAGCTGTGTTTCAAGTTTTAAAGCGACATTCTTAATTTAATGGTGATCTGGTATATCTTGCATTGATAGCACTAGGTTGTAAAATTACATTGTTTTTTGAGTTGGTCTGGCGTTAAAAAAAAAAAAAAACAAAAAAAAACGTACCACTCGAAAAGAAAGCAACAATCAATGACATCCATTCCTGAGTTATGTCATTTCATCATATTTCGTCATTTGACATTGAGGCTTAAAAAAAAAAACTGTATAAAAGAAGAATAAAAGTTTCTGTTTAAAAAACAACAGAGAGATATTCTCGCAAATAATTTATTAATTATTTAGGAGTGATGATCTTAATTAGGATGAAACAAAAATATCCGAAACTGAAAACAAAAAAAAAAATAAATAAGATAAATAAATAAAATAAATTAATTAAAAATAAAAAGCCAAAAAAATATCAGCCTTCGACAAAAAGTTTTGGGCTTTTAAACTAGCTTTCTGTAAAGTTTTTGAAAATGAAATTAGGAAAATGCTATATAAACAAAATCAAAACTGGAAGAAAAACAGAATACATTTTTTTTTTTTTTACACAAAATTTAAAGGACTTAAATTTAAAAAAAATAGAACTTTAAGGGAATCACAATGCTAGTGACGGCAAATGATTAGATAACAAAACAAATCGAACTCTTTAGGGCAGCCACATGGCCTCCAATTACAGTGGGAAGCAGTGGTCGAGAAACCAAGATAGTTTGTGATGAATTAGAATACCTAAAATAATAACTAACTACTAAATCCCAATATTATTTTGAGATCACAAACATATTTTTTCTTTTTAAGTCCACTCTCTCCTTAACAGAAATGCAGGGAAGTAATTTTTGAAATATAGATTTTTTTTTTTTGGCTCTTATCGTCACAAATGTCAAAACACATTACGTTTTACTCAGGCTAAAAAAGTAATTTAGAACATTATTGATAATGTCATTTTCTCTACTGTTTGTCATAATGGTTAGTAAATAATGTCATCATGCACTCGTTAGTCAACGTCATTGTGGAAGCATCTGTCTGTAAGGAAGGCTATATTCTACAAGAAGAATAATGAAGATTTTTCACTCAGTCACCAACAACCCCATCTCCAATTTTTTTTTTCAGGGATCGTTATAATTATGAATTGAGAAGGCAAACTAAAAATCCAGTGAATACATTTAATAATTCATTAGAAAAGGTTTAAACGACTACACCAGAACTTATTATTATTCGATCTCATTGTTATACCCAGACGAAGGAAGAGGACTGCTACGACTGATTAGGAAAACCATGGTTAGTTCATCAGGTTCACTTATTAAATCATAATAAATAGTCATTTTTTTTAAAATCACAAAATTTATTAAAAAAATAAAAGATCGCTCAAATTCTATATCTGTGTTCACTATTATTTTCGTTAAGTACTTCTTCGGCAATTTACCGGAAGAATCTTTACTCTTCTTAAGTCTTAATTATTATTTGTGTACATTTGCCATAAGAACACAGAGTAAAGAAGAAAAAAAAGTAAATTGGGTCAATTGTTTGCTTTTTACTACAAAGGCAAATCTTTGTTTACATTGTTTCGACTAAATAGCAAAATAATTTCCTGAGAGCTCAGAAGACTAAAAACTCAACAAAATCCAAAAAAGCTATGTGACTGGATTGGAGAATAAATATTGCTGTTAAAAATAAGTTTTTAGCATTTTTTTCACTATAGATTTCTGAAAAGAAAAATCATTTGGTAAAAAAAAAAAAAAAATTAAAAGAGAACGAAAGATCATTGAGTGGACAAAATATTGTATTCCAACATTAAAAAGGGTTATTTTTGATTTAGAAAGAAATTGCAAGTTCACAAGTGGAAAAAAAACACTATATTTCGTTACTTTTTCAGTGATACAAAAACATGAATCACCTTTCTTTTTAAAGAGAAAAATAACAACAAACTTACCACCGCCACTCTCCCTCAATCAAACAAAACAAAGCTAAAAAAAAGAGAGAGAACTAAGATTTGAATATATATTTAAGAGTTGTAAATGACTTACATAAGATCATCCTCGATTTGTTCAGCATCATAAAACTCCCTGTTGCTGTCTCGAATAATACCCATCGCTTTGCGGTAGTTGTTCTACAGAAAATGTTCCTACTGCTCAGCCATTAAAATCAGACAGTGTCAAGCAACAACCTCTGAGCATGCGCACTATACATCAACTGTGACCTTTGTCGAAGGTCATTTCCTGTTGGTTTGTTTTCATTTGAAAGAAAGCATTATTTGACAAGCGAAAGTTAAACGAAAAACTGGGGGACAAACGGTTTTTTTTCTTAGTGTCAAATAAACATCAAACAGCCTGTTCGACGACTAACGTTGATTCCAAAGAAAATCCAACCATAACATAGTGAAAATTGAAAGAAAAAGCATTTTTATTTGGATAAATTACGATAAAAAAATTAAATTAATAAAGTTTAAGAAGCGGAAATAAAAAGAATGAGGATTAGATTTTTTTTTTGTTCTTTTTATCGAAACACTTTTTTTTTTTAGACTAATGGTGGTTCAGGTGACAAAAAAAGTAACACTCGTAAAAACCGAGCAAAAAAACATTTAACGATTTAGTAGTGTAAGGCTTTAGTTTAAGCAATGAAGAAGGTGATTTTTTTTAAGTTCAAATCTTGGTAAAGAAAGAATCAATTAAATATTTAAATAATAAAAAAAACTATTTTATTTTGTAAGAAAACATGTTTTTCATTATTAATATTTTCATGTGTTTTTGTTTGATGAATATGACATTCTTTGGGGATTTTTAAAAAGAGTGTTCGATTTACAAATTAAGTTTGTTTATATTTATATTTAAAATGCTCTGCGTGTAAGTGTTCAGTGTTCACACACTGTTCATTTTTTTCTTTTTTTTTTTTTAAAGCCCATCCATAATTTATTTTAATAAAAATAAAAATTTATTTTTTTATTGTACGAAAGCCATAAACTCGCATTTTTTTCTTTCTTTATTTTTATTCTGCGACTCAGTTCGTGATAACAACCTCAACCAAATCTCTGACTCTCTAATCTAAAAACTAAATCCAAGAAAAAGTAGTAATAAACATTTCCTTTTTTTAAAAAAAAACTCTGTAGAGTAGAAGTGGAAGGTCTCATTAATGGAGGACGTCCACAGGTAGACGTAAGTTACCGCGTCCAGTGTTAAACTAAATAAAAACAGATGAGTGGCCAGGGTCCAGATATAATTTTTTAGTTGTATCTTGTTATTACGAGAATAAAGTAATTGAGAATTATTACTACCATTGCCGTTGTGGTTATTTTACATGGCGCTGTGAGTGAAGAACAGGATTTGGTGAAAGGAAAGGGAAACTATCGCACTTCAAAGGGATGGAACACCTATCTCAGCGCAAATGTCAAACACAAAAATAAACAGACCATTCTGTCATTGAACCCAATACAACGGACAACGAATGGGCATTATTCCTGGATGCTTGGACTCGGTAAGGCGATGTGTAAACTTACCAACCCAGTAGAAATACGTAACGAATTGAGAATGACATGCTCGCCCAAAGTCAATAATAGGCTCCTTTTTCAACCTTAGAGGGGCTTACGGAGGAAAGGCTTTTTTTGTCACACATCTGATTTGTTGTGGTAAAGGCTTTACACACAAGGAAGTTCACCGGTAGACCTTTCATTCCATACGTCAGGCGGAAGGTGAGTCAATAATTTATTTTTTAGCAAGGCTACGAGCTCAAGCAAAGTTTTGCTCGTTCACAGTTGATTGTCCCAACATGGAAGGCTGCAAGTCAGCAAGTTAACTACTTGTGCGACATGATAGCTGGGTAGATCATTATGGGACTCACCAACAAGGAACACTAGAGAGAGTTTTGGCCAAGGCTGCCACCCTCACCACACTTGAGCAAAAGTTTGACTGACTCGTCAGCTTGGAAATAACAAACAAGTCAGCTGCATGGTTACTAAATGATGTTAGTCTGTCAACTTCATCCTACCGACAAATATCTAGCCATGAGTGCCATGCACTTCGACAACCCTGAAAAAATAATGTACCCGCTTCTTCACCAAATAAGAATCCATGTGTGGGTTGTGGAAAGACATACCACCCAGAGGGATCAATTAGTAGGAGAGTTTGCCCAGTAGCTAAACTGATATGTCATAATTGTGGGATTAGGGGTCGCATAAAAAGTGTATGTCAGAAATCTACTAAAATTAAAATTGGAAGGCATGAACATATCAACAAGGTACAAGACAGGGCAGGATTCATTAATTTTCTCAAACACTAGTCTGAAAGTTCCCATGCCATCTGCTATGCTGGTAGATCAAAACAGAGCCATAAAACAGGTTTGATGCTGCCTGGTGCTGTGCCTCATCTTGCGTGGAATGGAAAGCGATTTGAAGAAGGTATCTCAGATCCACCACCATCACTGACAATAGAAGAGACTATAATGCATCAAACCCACACTTCATTTGGATGCACCCAGACTGGTCCAATTAGCCACGGTAGTCGACACATCCTCATGTTCCCTGATACAGGGGCTCAGACCTGTTCAAGTGGACAAGAAATATTAAAACTATTCAGGTTCCTAGACAAGTACCTCATGCCAACTAGTCATTGAATATGCAGCATCACAGACAACCAACTTCATATAAAAGGGTGTGTTGTTCATGCATATAAGATTTGGCCTGAGATGTGTATGTGTCAAGCATCTGGTTTTTACTTATCAGAATCTGCCATGAAGGACATACATCTGATGCCACCTGATTTCCCAGCCAAGACACCAGGGCTCAACTCATTGAAGGGCACAAAGGAAAATGCCTTGTGCATATGCTCAAGCAGAAAGCCCATTTCATCCCATTTCTTCCTGTGGAAACCAACAGGCACCTACTGGATTGATGGATACATGACCATTTCAAGTCCAGCTCATTTAATGCATGCTCACACCAACCCTTACAGACTATGACAGGAAAGCTATTGGACATTACCTCTGTCCCTGATGCAGTGCCATTAGTAGTTCACATACCAATTGGAAGAAAATGTGAAACAAGACCTCAATTGAGACATTGCATTGGGCACTCCTGGTGCTCAAGGATGGTAGTCACACCCACAAAAGATGGCTCTTCCAGATGCACAGTGGACTTACAAGAACTAAACACTGCCTTCATGAAGGAAACCCATCACCCCTCATCCTCATTTAATCAGGTCTCCATCGTTCCGACTCAGACAAGGAAAACAGTTCTGGATGCATGAAACCACTTTCCCCAACTGCACAAGATGCCACTACATTTATCACTGAATCAAGCTGGTACATGTATCTTTATGCTCCCCAAGGATATCATGCATCTGAAGACACATAATTATACATATATTGATGATATTACAGTAGGCATGGTTTGAAAAACTTGTTGCATAGACAATAGCCTCCTTTGGGACAATTCTATAGAATCCTCATTCTGGCACACAATGGAATATGCGGGAAGAATGGGATTGTGTTTAACCCTGACAAATTCCATTTTGCAGAGAATGAGGCAGAGTTTGCTGGGTTCTTAATAATGGCTGATGGTGTGAAACCAACTAAGAAAATGACTGAGGCCATCCTTCATTTTCCTACGTCCACAAATATCACGGATGTCAACTCCTGGTTTGGACTGGTGAATCAGGTATCTTATGCATTCTCGCAAGCTGAGGAGTTGATCCCTTCCAGGAATTACTGCACTTGAAGAACCAAAAATTTTATTGCGATGAAACGCTTTACCAACTTTTTGAGCAGTTGAAGGGAGTAATCATGTGGAAAATTGAGAACAGAGTCAAGACGTTTGTGATCAATAAAATGACATCCCTTTCAACAGATTACTGTAAAACCAGAATCAGTTACTTTGTTTTTCAAAAACACTGTAATTGTCCTGGTGAAGCTCTGGCTCTTGTCTATTGGCTAGAATCATGTCAGATGTTAATATTGGGATGCCCAGATTTGCTAGTGACTGTTGACCATCAACCACTCATAAAAATTTTCTCAGATCGAGCCCTCGAGAACATAAAAGAACCCACTTCTCTTTAATTTTAAGGACTGCACACTAATGTAAAAATTCAGCATTAAACATTTCCCTGGAAAACTTAATGCTGCACCTGACTGCACCTCCCAGTACTCAGTATGGATCCCATCAGAGGACTCAACAGAACATTCTAAATATCATCTGCACATATACAACAGAAGCATTGACAGTCATTCTACTGCAACTGATGCAGTTGAACCAATCAACAGTGCAATCAAGGCTGCGTTCATACGAGCATGACCCTAGACTGAAGGCTATCACATGGGATAGGATAGTTGCTGTGGCAGCCATTGATGAAGAAGGTTGGACTCTGACAGAATATATACAAATATATTTCCCCAAATCATGATATGACCTCCTATCAGTGATCTCTTGGTTTTGGCCCATGCATGAGAAATTGTACTGCATTGAAAGGAGTACTGATCAAAGAGAATAAAATCCTTATACTTCAACAACTGTGTGGAAGTACTTGAATCCCTATGTTCTGCATACCAGCGGGTAAATGGCATACTAGCAAATGTGATACAATGCCTATTTTGGCCTGATTTGGATGCTAGCATCCAACAGACCAGAGCCCAATGCCAGATATGTAACTCTATCATGCCATCACAGCCTAAGGAGCCCTTGATGCCACCGTCTAACCCTGAATTTTAATTCCAGCAAACTATGTTTGACTTTTTCGACTTACATGGTAGAAATTATGTTATATATGTAGATTGGTAAACTGGTTGGGTGGAAGTGGCCGTAATATCATCTGGGAAGGCCAAGGCAGTATGTGACACCCTGAGAACTTAGCTCTGCATATATGGTGCACCTGAAAAACTTTCTTCTGATGGGGGACTACCTTTTGATTCCCAATAATACAACTCATTCCTTAAGAATTGAGGAACATGGAAACATACTTTGTTGGCTCACTACTCACAAAGCAATAGCTGGACAGAACTAGATGTCAAAATGGCTAAGTGTGTACTTGCAGACAAAATGGACAGCTGTGGTCAGCTGTTTCATGATTGTGCAACAACACTCCTGTCCAGGATCTTGACATGCCTCCT